CTCCGAGAGAGGAACTTTGTTAAGACGGGATCGCGCAGACGGTGAGTTGGATATTTGGATTAAGTTCCTCCGGGCGCCCCCAGTGCGTGCGGGTGAGACAGAGGGGGTGGAAATCTGGGCTCGAAATGGCCGTAAAAGAGGGAGAGAAGGAGCCAGGCCAGCCGGAGCTCGACCTCGTGTTTTAAAAGTTTACTCGTCGCTTCTGATCCCTCCAAGCGAGCGGAGATTCTGCAAGAGAGTGACCCGCGGGGCTGCAACCCCAAGGGGGCATTTGAGGTGTCCCTCGCTCGTCTTAATCCCCCCCGTGCAAGGCACTGCTCCAGATCCAGGAGAATAAGGCATCTAGAGGGTTAAAGTGGCCCAAGAGAAGCACAAATTTGGAAGTGAGAGTGTGCTTGGGGGAAGAGGGGTGGATGAAGCGGTAATTCGTCTGTTCTGCGGCCCCTCAAATAACGCACCGCGAATCTAGATGGAGTGGGGACACACAGGACAGTGCGTTAAATGCTGGGGATCTCCCCTTCCGGCCTCGCGTTTACTTTACCGAAGGTTGTTCATTTCTTTCGAGGCAGTGCACTAAAGCCTCCTGCTAATACGTTAAAGTTTAAACACCAGCAGGTGCAAATTTGCTCTACTCAAGGCTACAAAAATAACGCAGAAATTCAAGAGCTCAAGACTCTTGTAGATTCTAGAAGGGAAATTGCACTATGCATAACCAACTATTTACGAAAGAAGAAAAAAAGGGGGAAAAAAAACCCTGAAAGTGCTAAATTCTTCTTAATGATGCCGAAGGTGAAGTTGTTGCATATTGGACAAAATGGGCATTATTCTTTGTCATGTAAATTGGTGTTCACTTGACCTCAGGTTAGAGGATAATGTTCATTCGAGGCTCACACTAAAACTTATGTAAAGCAGAGAACTGAAGAATCATTTCACAAAATCCGGGTAATAAAGTGAAGAGGATTTAGAGATCTTCATGAAAAAAAAAAAGAGTTAGGAACATTTACTTAAAAAAGAGAAAGGAAAAAAAAATGCCGCAAAACTCCAGGATTAGGAACTTTTTTATTATTCTTAAAAAAAAAAAAGTTGTGCTCCTTGTATTTCCTGAGAAATGTGTATATGATTTCGTGTAACAAGATTAAAAGAAAGGAAAAGATATGAATCAAAGGAGCTATAGATACACAAAAGATCTCCAAGTAACAGTTACTCTAATACCTATTTTAAAATAGGAGAAGAAACGAAAAGATATTTAGCAACTGGGTAAAACAGAAGTGAAGGTTTGATAAAGAAGATGCAGCTATTTCAATCGATAAATATACTTTTGGCATGGAGTGACAGGATATGTTATTTTGACACAGAATGAAAACATTACCGCGGATATAGAAACGTAGATATATATGAAGACAGCTGTATACACTCATTTATAAGTTAGTGGGTGCACGTGGAAGGAAATCTGAGTATCTGCACTTCCCAAAGCAAAGCTGGAAAATATTCCGTAGGTGAAGCGCTGTACTGAGGTAGGTTTAATATTCAAGTGCTGGAGATTATTGGAAATCAAATAAAAATTCGCCACGCATTGACCCATCAGAGGATTTAGCGGTGAGGAGGGAGAGATTTTCCAGGGCTTTTGTCACTAATGTTTCAGTGCTAGGCGCTAACTTTAAGAAAGTGTCACTAGAATAACAAATTGAGGGCATGAAAGGCCAGGGAGAGAAAGCAAGCAAGGATGCTCTTGACTTCTTAGCAGTTGCTTAGAAAGGATCTCGAGCTTAATATGGGGACTCAATCAGTGGAGAGCACAAAGCTGGGAAAAGGGGGAGAGGAGAAGAAGAGAGAAAAAAAAAGAAAAAAAAAAGTTGCGCTCAGCACGTGCAGTTTGGTCAAGTCGCTTGACTGAGCAGCGAGGGGGAAAGTCCGCGGCGCGGAGCCCTCCGCAGCTGCGCAGGCTCCGCCGGGGAGCCCTCGGGACACGCGCAGGGGCCCGCGCGGAGCCGCGCACCATCCTATGGGGCTGCGCACCCGTGGGAGGGGGTTAATTCGCCCCTTCGGCGGAGCACAAGGAGTTGTTAGAAGACTCCGTTATCTAGTTCGCTCTTCCCGAAGAAACAGCCCATGTTAAATAAAGCCCGTCTGTAAAGATTTGTCCCAGTTTCGCGACTACGGCAGATAAGGAAAATCTGGGAACTGTTACCAGGACATCGGACTCTAATGGGTACTCAGTGGCTAAGGGAACTTCATCCCGCTCCCGGCGCGTATTACAGCACAGGAGGAACTCGATATAGGCGCTATTTAATCCTGCTCAGTGCCAGAGCTGTTTAAATGTATACCGTGCCTACCGTCTTTGTATCGGGACCCAAAGGATGCATTGTGGAAAGAAAACTATTCAAAATCTTTCATCTGATAGAAACGATCCGGCAACTGCGAGGCAGCCGCAGCACAATGCGCCTGTCTACATAATAGGGATCTCATAAAAATACAGCGTGTCATTGCCACAAAAAAAAAAAAAAAAAAAGAGAGAGAGAGAGAGAGAGAGGAAAAAAGTTAAAAGTCTCGAATGTATCCATCTTATGTGTTGCGCGCAGTCAATAATATTCTAACCTTGCCTGCATCCCGCCATTAAATGGTACATGGCACTTTAAAATCGAGGGCATTGTGATTGAAATCCCAGGCTCTAGCAGAGAAAGAGAGGAAGGTAAGTTAAGCGAGGACCATTACCGATGTAATGACCTCAGGGTAAATATTCATTAGGAAGAGGAGATTCCCCCTTCTAATACCTCGTCTATTTTCTTTGGAATGCAATATCACGGAGCCTAATGTACTATCAAGACCCGCGATTTAAAAAGGAGATTATTTCCAAGTGTGTTGGGTCGAGTTGTGAGGATTTTTTTTTCCTAGATATTTTCTTCAAGTGGGACACAAATGACAAGAATAGTTTAAAAAAATGTTTTTTTTTTTTTTTTTTTTTTTTTTTTCCCGGGCGACTAGAGAAGGTAGCTGCTCGCTTAGCCCTTCGGTGAGAGACGCGAGCACACCGAGCAGCGTGTTAGCAGCCCTGCCTCTCTGCCTGCCCTGGGTAGGTAGGAGCACTTAGCCGGGGGAGAGGGAGGCTGCACGCGGCCACGGGAGACCGAGTTTTCCTCCTGAACTGCGCTTCTCGTCCCGAAGAGCAGGAGCTCCGACCCCCAAGCCAACTGAGACGGGCACCTCGAGGCAGCCGAGACCAGCACTGCCGTGCCGTAATAGGGTCACAGCGGAGATTTGAGCTTTTTAATTTGCAGGCGCAAGGAATGACTCCCTCGGAGTCTTCGGATTTCTTTTTTTCTTTTTTCCCTTTTATTTTCTCTTACTCTAGTAAAACAAGGAGAGAGCGGGGTACATCCTCACCCACAACCACCCTCCCCAAAAGAAAGAAAGGGGACACGCTGCAGCTCGGCACATCCGGCAGCGCCCGGTGGTGGAGGGCGGAGGTGGGGGGCGCTTTCCAAGCTTTACACAACCGTCGATTTAGACGGGACAAGCTCTCGACGGCACAAAAGTACTTTCGGATCCATCTGCCCCCACCCCCGGGGATGCTCTTGGCAAAACTGATCCCCTATCCGGGTCCCAAAGGCTTCTCCCTACCCCGGGAAGGGGCGTCGGGCCGGGGCCGGGCGCAGCGCCCGCACCGGCCCCTCTTCCCAGCCCGGGGCAGGGATGGGAAAAGTACAGGAGCCCTCGGCCCTTCCTCCGCTCCTGCTGGGGAGGCTACCCGTAGAAAAGCAGGAAAACCACCTCGCGGACCCTCGGTGGAAACTCCTTTCCCAAGCAGTGGCTCTGCTCTGTGCTGAGCATTCGGCTCCTCCAGCTCTCCCTCAAACCTGCTCGTTAGTTAACCACCAGCGGCGCCGTTATGTCTTTTCCTTTAGCTTTATTTTTTTTCCATTTTTCTTTATTTTTATTCTATTTCGTTTTCGTAACTTGAAAAACAAAATCCCCGGACTTTTGCAGGTGGGCATAAGTGGACGAAGCAGCGCGGCGCTACCCACGAGGGCACAGAGAAGTCAGACCTCTCCTCGCCGGCCCCGCAGCTCCGGTGCCGCCCTACAGGTTCAAGTGCCCCTAAGGATTTGGGAACAAAGGCGCACGCATCTCCATTGTAATTCCTAAAAAAAAAAAAAAAAAAAAGCCCTGTTTTCCAGC